AGAGAACCTCTAATAAAAATCTGAACACGTAACAGTCATTTTTAATTGATCTGCTATGTTTTAATAACTCCTGAAAGAGAAAAAAAGAGAAAAAAAATGAGAAAAAGATGAGATAAAAAAGAAAAAAGAAATAGGTAAATGTATGTTTTTTTTTCTTTCATATGATTTTGCTAAAACTAAAGACCTTGCATATAGAATACAGTTTGTATCCAGACTCTTATTAAAGAAATAGTATTAAAGAAAATATCGTAACCCCTCTAATATGTAAATATGTAAAGAATATTTACTTTTATGTATACTACTGCTTCTTCAGTTTCATTAGTTTTTTCAGGTTCGCTTGCCATAATTGTTGTTGTGCCAAAAAAACTTAAAATCACAAAAATATTTTAAAGAACAAATTTGCTTCGCTATTTGGTTAGCACTCTCGTCTTTTTTCAATTTTAATTTCCTTTTTGATTATAACTGTGACAAATGTAAACATGAATTTTAATCAATTGACTATTATGTTTAATATTTTGTTTAATATTTCGTTACTATTATATTTAATTTTTTTAGTTATAAAAAAATTTAAAGTTCAATCGTTAATAATTATAACTCGCCTGTCGGTTCCCGTCTTAGTAGAAAGAAGGCTGATAACGCGTGAAGAGACATCATGATCAGCATACACTTGTGATTAAAATTGTCCCAATCTATTAACGCCATTAATATGAGCGGTGAATAAATTATCGGACACATACACTCTGGATGTTTGTGAATTATTAACAAAATTCTGATGAATAACTCATAATCTCGCTCATGATGACCCAAAAAGCGAAACGCATGGAAACGCTCGATAAACTCCTTCATGATAAAAACAATCGAGAGTTCAATATATTGTATTTGTTTAATGCGATACCGTCATTTAAATGTCATTTAATATTTAAATATGCTTGACGTCTAACTAACGTGGAAATTCGTCGAAAATGCACATAAAATTACGCTTTAATAGTACACGTGTATGACGTGGTAAGGCAATCATATCTACGCTGTCACAATTGTTGTAGATTAGATGCTTGACGTATATACATACGGATATATCGCCGGATGTGTTTAAAAAATTGACCTTCAGCATCATTGTAATTCACCGCTGCAGACCATCTTTCTAAATCATCGTTCGTCGAATCAAATGGCTATTCATATTACATATTAAAGTAGGAAGAAATATTTTATTCATATATATATATATATATATTTGTGTACAATATATGATGAATAAAATTTTTTATTCATCGTATGTGTGTATATACTATATATAGGATGTTTCAAACTGATCAAAGACAATTCTTTATAACACTTTAAGACGAAAAGTCTAATACGAAAATGCCGAAGCTATAACAGTTTTTAAATAGAAAAGGTTTAAAATTTAGGAATGACAAAGGCTGGAATTTTGTGAACTCAATCTCAAGGACGGCAAATGGATCAGTTTGTGCGCGCGCGAAGATGCTGCATTTTATTTTTGTTAAAAAAGAGGCACTCTCAAGTTCAAGGAAATACTTTCACATTGAGACCATCTCGTCATCTCCGCGCGCGCATAAAATTCTAGCTCTATTATTTATAATTTTTAAACTCTTCCCATTTGAAAACTGTCGCAACCTCATAGTTTTAGTTTTAAACTTTTTGTTTATCTTATTTATCTTAAAATTTTATTTATCTTAAAATATTATGAAGAATTTATTTTTAAAATATTTCTTATCAGTTTTAGGACACTCTGTATATGTATTTTCTGCTGATTATATAGATAGATCAATTTGTCAACAGGAAATATATATACGTATAATACATATACATAGCTATATAACTCCGTTTATCGTCAATGAAAAGATATAACCGCACGACTTTTCTTTTGTTTGTCAGAAGGAAAAGGAAAAGTGTTGAATGGATTTTGCATAGAGTAAAATTATGATCTTTTAAATGTGTGGTTCGAATGCCATTAGGACATAATTGCGGTGGAAAATTTTTTTTGTCGACGACACCAGATCGATAACAAAAATCATTTAATCACGTAGTTACATTAGCGCGAGTGCGTGTCTCTTTTCACCGATCTCTTCTCATTGGCTTTCACTTTCTCGACCGCAACTTCTATCTATACACAGCTGTTTTCGAAGGCGCCATGAATCCGGTGATTCCGAAATCAAGCGCAATTTATTTTGCTCATGAAAATGATACATGATCTCTTCGTCTCGACATGAATTACAATTAGTATAGGAGTGTTTGTTATTTGTATTTTAATCGCATGTTTACTCGATTATGAAACTGTCATTTAGAAATACATTTTTTACGATTTATATTTTTTATTTAAGTTATATTATAATTAATTTCAGCGATGCGCGATTATACTTTTTACAATATTTATCGTGACATTATAAAAACTTGGAGCATAAGAATGTCTAAAAATTTATGCTAAATTTATAAACATATATTAAATGCACATTTATTAATAAAAGTGAAATATGAACGGAAATCAAATAATTATAAATATATTACAGACTTGCAACGCAGTTATAAAATCTGAAATAATGATCTCACAAATATAAAATATATTTAATTCTGATGATAGTGCTAGTAATTTATTACCTGTTTACAAGTACTAAGTTGTTATAGCATTATCATCAAAATTGACGTTCAATTTGACTTATGAGATTATATTTCAAATCCTTATTTCAGTTTATAATCGAGTTGCAAGTCCAGCAGTAATCAACACGTAGTTTAAAGAGCTAAAAAGATATGTAAAATATATGTATATAGAAATGTCATTTTTGAAAACATTATCTAATTATTATTATTATATCTAATTATATATAAAAATTATATACATAAGAATTTGTACATATATCTAACCGCGACGGCCTTTTCTTTTAATTATTTTATTTGCATTTCACTTTTACACTCATTGTCAAATTAAGTTAATGTACAATGGCAATATGTATTAATTATTACACGTTAGTGTATTCAACTAAATTCTTTATAAAGTGATCTTGGTTCCAATTAGGATCGAGATGGCATTAAACTTTCGCAGTTACGAATGACGATTGATGTGACGTCTTTCTACGTGACGAAATTTCCATAGATGGCTGTATTACACGTGGATGATTCTCGACTTACGTCATTTATCGCAAAGAAAATCTATTATAAGTTATTTATTCGAGCAACCCGTTGGAACAGAATTTGCATATATAAAAGTTAATCAACTGTAGTATCAGCGAGAATAATCAGAATACAAGTCTGTCTATAATATTTCCATAATGTATAAATTCATCAATATAAAAACGACTGATTTTAATCCTCTGCTAACAACGTTAAATTTTAAAGGTACGGTCGATTTTTTTATTTCGAATTCTGGTAAATAAATTTAAATCTGTAAAAAATACATTTCAGCTTCTATGATAGAAGATTATTCAATTAAAACAAATTTAATTTTCTCACTATAAAGTCGCTTCTTCCATCAATTTTATAATATTTTTTAAAAGAAAATCTTATTTTAAATATATAATGATTTTTTTCTAAAATTTTTATAAGTAGGTATATTTTTTAAAGATTATTATGAAAAAAATATCTTTGTTAAAAACAACCTTAAAAGGAAGAAAATAAATTGAGCAATCACTTTTCTTAAAGAATAAATAAAGAATATTTTTCTTTGTGTGTGCAGACGAAGGATGAAAATCTGACATTATCAATAAAGAATATTTTTCTTTGTGCAGACGAAGGATGAAAATCTGACATTATCGACAGAGACTTAAGATTGATGTCGGACAAATACGTGCGATTTCGTACGTATACTATAGCGTTTTCCCTTGGGATACATTGGGTGCAGCCTCGCACCGCACCAGTTGCGTGTAAGCACTGCACTCAGCTACATATTGCACTAGAGTGGTGTACATCATAGACAAATAAGAATAGTGTGTCCTCTACTTTGGTGTGAAGATCAGGTAAAAAAGGACAGAGCAGATATTAGACAGAGAGCAAGATATTCACATCACTTCTCCCTCCCCCCCAGCTCTTTCTTAGTCAGAAAGAGAAAGCTGCACGGCATCCATTGTCCCTCCTTTTCTACCTAGTCTTCACGTTTCAAACCTCACGCTCGGTCTATTCTTATTATAGTTGCTTTTTCCATTTACACCGATTTTCAGATAATTCTCACTTGTGACGTCATAACTCAGTTGAATGCGCGTTCCTTTTACATTCTGACAAGTGAGATTTAATTGAGTTTTTGCCTATAATCTGCACAAAATCGAGACTGTGTGCTTTAGTGAGTCTCGTAAATTCACTTTAAAAGTGACGTTCGAATAACTGTGTTATCATGTGATAACTTTTTATCAAACTAAGTAAATAATGACGTCATTAATCTGAGTATGAAATACTCGGCTCACCTCAGACTCAGTTTCACTTGTGTGCAAATGGAAAGCAATCTTATATCTATGGTGCACATCATGGTGTAACACTACTTCATTATCGCGCTAACCCTGTTCCCGTTTGACTTCCATTTTCAAAATTTAAATGCCACACTGGCTCTACACCGTCCCTTTGAGACGGTGTAGCAAAATCCCACTTCGTGCTTAAAATTTGCATTACACCATAACCACGGGAACATGGTACACCGAATGAGTTCGCCCACCACCATCCATGGAAAAACGGTATACTGTCTGTGTGTTGCACTAGTGAGCGATAATGCAGTCAAGAGAAAACGTAATAGGGAAAGCATTTTTCATGTGAGAGAGAGAGAAGGTTCCTGAGCGATTGGGATTTTCGGGTTTTGAATTTTGTGACTTTCATATTTTGCATGAGGAAAAGTATTTTTCGGTCAGATATCGCATAGTATATATATTATAATTATACCGAACGTTTGATTACACGTCAGATGACTTGCCACTTTATTGCAATGTCTCATATCGCAGGGTAATGATGACGGCGATGGCCGTGCATGTATATACGACGCATGTATATTGTATAAGTACAATCGTGTCCCGCGTGCCGCCGGTTCCGCGTAATCGAGTCTCTCTGCGCATTTTCAGTTGTACACCGATCATCGTCGTGGAAAGTTCGTGCGCGTGATCGCTCAGACGTTGTGCGATACCACGTGCACACCGCCTGCGAATTTTACTTCACGTCTTCGTGTGTACGACATACAACATGGATATACCGGTAAGGAAATCAAATAATCGTATCGCTCATATAAGCGATGACACGAGAAGATATATGTATTGTGAGGCCGTGATCTTCGGGAATTGTGAATTCTGAGCAGATCACGTATAGATCGCGACATGCTTTATCACGCTATTAAATTCATAATGGCAAATTGTACTTACAATTTATGTTATTTTTAATCATTTCTATATAGATCGCTACTGTTCCTATTCAATATGTCGTTAATTAAACTAAAATTATAAAGTTAAAAACAAAAAAATAATTTAAATCGGACTCTCAAATTTTAAAATAATAAATTACACTGTTATTTAAATAATAAATAAAAAATGAAAATTAATAACAAAATAATAAATAACTGTTCGTGAACATAGAGATATTCCAACGTTAACTTTTTCCAAAATTTCGTAATAAAGCTGCATTTTGAAGTATTTTTTTACATGAATTAATACTTATGCGCATCTATTTCCGTACTGAGTTTCATTAGCTTTAATTTTATTGTTATTTGTTATTACAAAGTTAAATTCATTTAGCAAATGTATGAAGCAAATGTATTAAATTTGACTAAAATTTAGTTTACCAAATGTATATGTTAACAAGAACGTTGTTTATTTTTATATCAATTACAGAAATGGATTGATTTATGTTTTGACATACATGAAATTTACATTTTGATATACATGAATTTAAAAATAATAAAACTCTATAAGGATTGGGTATTTATCGTTATTTCTTTGACAGTGCACGTCGAGACAGATAATTTTTTAGACATATCTACGTTAAATAAGTTAAGGCCCGTTTCCATCAACGTAGATTAACTTTAATCTTGGTTCAACTTACTCTTCTCGTATTTTTCTGATCTTTAGAACTACAAAAAGACGAAGAGTAAGTTGAACCGAGATTAAAGTTAATCTACATTAGTGGACATAAGAGATTTTTTAATGCTATAAGTTTTGTGTAAGTAAAATTATAAAGAATGATTTTGTTGAAATATCTAAAGGTTAGATACTGCATTTTTAGATGTTTCAATAAAATCGTTCTTTTTCCACAAGTATACGCGCGGTTATTTTTCTCAAGCACAAAGAGAAAAAATTTACTATAAACGCTATCTTATGCCATGACAGCAAAATTTTGCGCATATAGGGATCGCAAATTATTTGCAGGTGTAATAAATATTTATCTTTTTTTATACTTGCTATAAAAATTACTTGCAACAAATGCAAAATATTGATCAAATTTGTTTGAATCAAATTTTATTGTTGCTATAAACGGTAAATAAATTTGACAATTAAATTTTGTAACCTTTTTTGAGTTTATAGCAAATTTTTTTTTCTGTGAGTATTTAACCCCTTGTACTACGATTATGTCCCGACGACGCGTACCACAATGTCAACAACAAGGTCGATCACGCGTCGAGCCACTTAGCTGTTCAGTTTGATCTATATAATCACGAGCCTGATCCATGTTTCTTATGTTTGCACTGAAGAACGTACCATGACCTTTACCTGTGGTTCTTATGTTTGGCCTGAATTTCTTACCACGAGTCTCGCTCGATATTGTAGATGAAAGGGTTAATAACTTATCAAATTTAATAATTTATAATTAATAAAAATTTATTATTATATTTTTAAGAATTCATGTTATTTGATGATTTAATTTGAAGAAATTTGAAGAATAATTAAAATCTATTACATAGTACATAAATGGTAAATGAAACGGAAGCATCCCATTTAATCACGTTGTAATTGACTACAATCACTCACGATCGGTCTAGAATTTTTCCACTGAACGAGTATTGTGAATGGCTTGTCAATCACAACGTGGTCAAACAATTCCCATCCAAATGAAATGTGTTACTCTGTTTGACATTCAATACGATACAGTTACTAAGTATCTTATTTAATAATAAGTATATAAGATAAGTATCTAATTTGCGTATGTGAAATTAGAGAAACGAAAGATAATGTAAAAACCAGTCAGATGCCTTATAACGAATTTGATTGGATACACTGAGTGTGTACTGGTGCGTATATTAAAGCCATCGTACATAAATTATAATAATGGAAGATTTAAATAATGGAAGATATTTTCTAAAATGTTTGTAGTGGAATCTCACTTTGAAGAGTGAACCAGTCTCGAAAAAGAGTGGCTCAATTTTCAGTTTTTATAAGAGCCAGATTTCACTCTTCAGAGTGACAATTCACTCTAAAAGTTTTAAAGAGTATATTTAATATAAATATAAAAATAACTTAAACCGTGAAATCATTAATACAGTTTATTGTGCGTATGTTGTTAAGTAAAGTATTTTAAATTAAAAAATATTTATGTTTAATTTTTACATGCAGATGAATCGATATACAATGGCTTTGATATGTACCAGTGTTCACTAATGTGTTCAACCGAATTCGTTATCAGACAATAGTAATTGTTCAATATTGAGTCATCGAATGATGCAATTTAAGCATCTAAGCGTCTCTTTCGCTTTTCAGTTTTTGATGTTTATGACTTGAATCAAACAAGTTGAAATGCTTTGTCCGAAAAATAAATTGTTAATTAGACAAATTTAATCAAAAATAAACAGCGAAATTGGATGAATAACTGAGAGTGTTATTGTTGACCTTATATCATGAATATATATACAAACTTGAAGATTTTCCAGGTTATCGGAAATAATATTTTCTGACAAATATAGAGCCTGTTACTATTTGAAATTGTAGTAATAGATATAATATTTATAAAACAAGGTTGCCATAAATGATACATAATAATTGAGAACCAAGTAAAAATCTAAAATTCATTTTCCAGTTTCATTTTCCAGCACATAACTATTTTTCTTTTTCAACGATAAGTTATCTATAATTATTGGTTACTTGTACTCGAAAATTATGCGTTGAATATTAAGTGCTTACAAAGTAGACAAACTCTTTATTAACTTTTTAAATGTCTGCTGCTTCTTAGAAAAGAAGTTACGTAATTTTCCTTGATGTCACTCATTAACGCGAATACATTGAGCTCACTATTGACGCAAAATGCGATGTGTTAAAATCATTGTACAATAAAAATTGCATTTCTGACATGTCGTGAAAAAGCAATCTTCTGACACGTTTATTTTGATTTCGAATGCGGGTTTATTCATAGTCTCTTTATGTACACTAATGCATATAAGTAACTTTTTTAAAGTTATTTTCAGAAAATCATTTTTTAGAAATAAATAAAATCCGTAAAATATGTAAAATGCTTCTTTGTAAATGAGTAAAATATTTCTTTTGGCATAATTTATTCACTTGCATAAAATAGAGAATATAATTTTATATTTTTGGATGAAAAAAATAATTTCGTTGAATTATCTAAAAATTTCGTTAGATACAGATCCGAAAATAATTTTGTAGATTATTAAAATAATTATGTAGGAATCTCAAGATAAATAATATTGTGATAAGTTATCAATTCTAATAATTCAGTTTGTTGAATAAAGAAGTTTCAAGCTTCATAAGTGTATTATTTGCGCGACGTCTTCTACGCTAGACTCCTAATGCCCGTATTCTTTCCAGTTCTTTGATTTATAAGGAGTCTTGGTTAGTTTTATGATTTGTTATACGGATTTATCAATTCTAATAACTAGAGAGTTTGAGCGTCATAAATTATTTTGATATGATCACGACCAATAAAATTATTTTCAGATCTGTATCTAATTAAAGGAATTAGGTACAACTTTCACTTTTTCGCGACCGTTCCGGAATCGTTTTACTTATGTACTTTTCTTCGCAGAAGTTGAAAATGATCGTAATAATGATGCTACTCAAGGAAAAATTGGTCGATTTATACACGCACACTGATACATTTATATAAATGAAGTTAATTAAATCATTCACATAATTATGAAATCATTGTCAGTTATGCTTCAATAATTTAAAAATTAATAAAACAGAGTTGTTGATTCAACTCTGTTGATCTAACTCTCATGCAGCGATTTCATAACGATGTGAATAAGGATTTTATTAGCTTTATTTCAATGTATCAATCTTTTCTTGAGTGCACAGCATCATTATTATAATAATTTTTGGGTTCCATATGAATAGTTGTAAAAAAGTTGTATTTTCAACAAAATCGTCTTTTCCGGCTGGCCACAAAATGTTCACAGATACTTAACCAATAGGTTAGCTGTGTTAAACGATTAGCTTTCGATAAACACTTGTAAACTAATACATTAATCAACAGATTATGAGTGTTTAAAATTCATTTGTAACACCGAATATAAATATCGTTTATTACAAATGAATCTTAAATACTCATAATCTCTGAAACGAAAATTTTTCATAAAAAAATTTTTAATTGAGAGCGTGCTTATATTTCTTTAAATCCTTGAAATATATAATGAAGAGCTATGAATATCAAACCAAGCAGACTTAAGTTACGTAACTTTTTCTTCATTTAAGATGATTTTTAGAAGTCATCGTGACATTTTTAGATGGTCAAGTAAATTGCGAGGAATAAATCTAAGATAAAGCGGCTAAAATAGGCAAATAGATAAGTAATAATACATGCAAGCATTAACATACATACAATAGAATGACATTGTTTCGAGCTCATTTTATACGCGCGTACTCGGACAAATGTAAAATAATTTTATGCTTTCGCGACGAGCGCGATAAGATCGTGCATATCTAATGGATCTCACTTGTATTATGCAAACTGTATTAAGCTCGCAATGACACAATAATTATGTAAGTTCTTCGTAAGGTTTTTCGTGCATTTGCAGCGCGCTGCGTAATAAGTGTTTTCGCGATGTAAGAATGACAAAATAATATCACGCTTTCGAGAGAACAAAATCGCAGAACATGCATAGTAACATGTACGAATGATATAATGGAACTTTATTATCGTTATCGATGTAATCGCAATCTTGCATGCCGATAATGATATCTGTTGTCGAATCTCAATTGAATGTCGCGCGAATGACATACAGTATATACAGAGTTCAGAGAACGTGATTCGAAATTCGGAATAATTCCACTGTTAATTATCAACAACGTGAAATGGTCATTTTCCGTGTAGCATAGTAATAAGCGATGAGTCAATAAACGTCGGTTCAGTCGCCAGCACGGAAGTATCTTGATACTTTGCTTCTGAATGATTGTGATAATACTTTTTGCGACGCAGAACTTTGTACTCAAGAACAATTCTCCTGTAGAGTAAGTCATTCACTTTTCTTTGTTACTATCGAGCGACAAAAGTATCAAGTGCACTGCCCCGATAAGCGTATCCCCTTTCTAAAGCAATTAGTATTCGTGTGATTAACTTGTCACTAAAAACATAATTTATTTCTAAACCGATAATAAGTATCTCCTCTGACTGAATTTTTACTAGTTCTGCACGGATTTCTTTTACAAGACGCGATCGATCAACACAACATTTATGAAAACTCGACGTTCAAAATAATGACTGACGGATGTCGATCGTGATGCAAAAGGAAGTTACCGTTGTATTTCATCATGACCATTAAGAGTGGGGATTTGGGGGGGGAAAGGAAAAATCCGAATTACATGGAATTTTGAACGCAGAATCGACATGCTGTAAATGTGTGCCATTTGAAATAAATAAATTCATCCGTAACTTGTGCAAAGTTGATCTCTGACATTCAACTTTGATAAAGATGAGAGAGTAAAAAATCAAATCCTGCTTATATCTGCTTGAGTGTATAATACTTTTTATTAGATAGATATTTTAATCAATATTATAATGAGATCAAGAATCACTTTAATGCGTTTTAAAATTTGTTAGCACATATCATATCTTTGTGGAATATAAACGCTTTGGACTTTGGATAGACTTCAGAGACTCTCTGACTATACTAGAGATGAGCGATACGCGTATCGCCTATCTCTAGTGTAATTATATATTCTGCATTAATGACAATAGAAGATTATATTGCTGATTGCAATGTATTCTGAATTTCTCGAGAATGATTAGTTAAATTAAAGTAACAAATTTTTTTTTACTTTTATCGCAAACGACATAATTCGACAGGCTTGGGAGTCTCGTAGAGTTTATGTCCGAGAAGTCGATTCTATTGAGATTAATCAATTAATAAGTTGGTTCGTGTTAAATCTCTCGTAGACTGTGGACGCATCGCAACCGAAGGCTATAAGAATGGCAGGATCAGCGGAGAGCGAAAGCGGACCAGAGGCACATGATGAGTCATTTTTCGGCATCCTGGACATAGCATTGGTCGTTGGTCTCTTCTTAGCGGCAGCATGGTGGCTCTTGAAAAGAAGAAAGCGGGAAGAACTCACGCCGACAACAAAATCCTACTCTATCCAGTAATTATTCTTTTTGAAGTGTCTTAGATACGTGGTTATGTGATCAAATGTTTCTATAAAAGAAATGAATCTCGATAGATTCTAATGGAGTTATATATTATCTGCCGAGTAGTCAATAAATAACTTCCTCTGAAGGAAGGAAAAAATTTGGTTGAACCTAAATTAAAATAATATTAAGAACCGGTTCTTTCGTGTCAAGTGCACGGTTATCAAGCCGCCAATTATCTATCATGTTTCGAGAAATGTGAAATCAAAATAGCATAATCCATATGTTGCGGTTTGATAACTGCTTGGCCTAAAATGAGATATTTGAGATGGTTCAACTATTCCGGACTCCTCCTACTCTTTATATTCTTTGGAGTCTCACTTTAAAGAGTGAAAATTGAGCCAGTCTTGAAAAAGAGTGGCCCAGTTTTCAATCTTTAAAAGTGAGATTTTACTTTTTAGAATGAGATTCACTGCAAAACGTATTAAAGAGATGGCTTACGGCTTACTACCTCTATTGTAAACGGCTCTTAAAAGAATCCTTAAACACACATCCAAGGATTACTGACATTGTAATGCGCTACTGAACTATGTTTAATTCTTCAATTACAGACCGACGTCATTCGTCGCGGTACCGCCATCAGAGAATTCCTTTATCAAAAAACTGAAGTCCTCTGGGCGAAGTCTGGTCGTGTTCTACGGCAGCCAAACGGGTACTGCTGAAGAATTCGCTGGTCGTCTCGCCAAGGAGGGTATCAGATACAAGATGAAGGGCATGGTGGCCGACCCCGAGGAATGCGACATGGTATGTGAATCGCTACAGTAATTAAATAAATTTTTTAATTCAGAGAAAAAAAGAACGGGAGAGAATCTCTTTTCTAAAGCGAATTAAATCACAAACATCTACGCACGAACATCTACGTACGTAGATATTTATTCCATGCAAGATGGAGCGAGACTTCTCGATCGATGTCATTAAGCCAATCGAGAAATTCTTGTTATTACTAACATGTATATTTCTGACACATGTAGAAACATACACACTGATAGTCTTGCCTCGTTGATCTCGACCTTCCCGCGAATGATAAACAATATATTATTTACGATAAAAAAAAAAGATTAACGTGAAACATTAGAAATATTTTCCTTTTTTACAACAGGAAGAGTTGATACACTTGAAAACTATTCCAAATAGTTTGGCAGTGTTTTGTTTGGCTACATACGGAGAGGGCGATCCCACCGACAATGCAATGGAGTATATTGAGTGGCTCAAGAACGGTGACGGTGATCTCACAGGATTAAATTATGCGGTATGTATGTACATACGTGATCATTTCTATACATACGAGCGTGGCACGTCACAATCGCTATCAATTAATTATCTAAATTACTTTGTCCTTCAGCAGGCTGCGTGTGTTGTTCAAGTATTCATTGTAGTTTCCATAATACATGCCATAATCATAATAATCTAATTAATAATAATATAATTAATAATAATAATAATAATGATGATTATAGTAATGATAATAATAATAATGATAATCTACGCGCGGATATAATTCAAGGATACGAACGAATTTGCCTTTCTCTTCTTTATTTTTATTTCTCTCTTTCTTTTCACGCTTTTCTTCTTCAGTATCTTTTTCCGAGTTTTTTTCTTTGAACAACAAATAATAAACAGAGTTAAAGACTGAGAGATGATGGGAAAAATCCATCGTGGCAATTAAATGACCTGAGGGTCGATTGTATATCTTGAACGAATTTACTGGAGGATACTTATAATTTCACCAATTGTTTTTCAATTTGTGAGTTTGTAAAAATTCTTTCTTCTAATTGGTCCATCAAACGCTTCAAAGCATTTGTAGCGAGACTTTGACCACAACCACAATCGACCCCAGTCACAATCGATCCCAGTCGCAATCGATCCCAGAATCGTTATTTCACAGTGGTGCCCTCACGTTCCTCACTCCATTAAGTATTGTGTAACATATGAGTCGTCTAATAGTATGCATGTTATGTATGTACATACTATATAACACACGTTCAACGATCGTATATAATACTATGTGATACCGGTGCTTAAAATCGCAGTTTCTCTGGTAGAAAGTGAAAGTACCGCGTCGAAGTATATGAGACTGCGTTGTCGCAGTCATTCGGACGCGAATGCGTATTGCGTGATACTCTGCAAATCATGAACATCGGAATGTTATGCGCTGAACTCTTCCATCTCGCTCTGCGGCACTGTCGCCGGGCCGGCGGTGTCGTAGCGCTGACAGCATGGCGACGTGCTCCAATATCGCGCATATCGTACGAGGTATCGAGATATATCGAAGTTCGAAAGTCGATGAGAACTCGAATCATTGGAAAACAAAATCTACGGTCGCGTTTCAAATTACACGCCAATAATCGTTTCGCTTAATTGTTATTATTATTTGTTTTAGGTATTCGGGCTGGGTAATAAAACCTATGAACACTATAATGAGATTGGAATATATGTGGATCACAGATTGGAGCAGCTGGGTGCTACGCGCGTTTGCGAGTTAGGTCTTGGGGACGATGACGCAAAGTAGGTTCTCGGCAAATTTACTTCTTTTTTTCACACATCCGTTCTTTATTTTTACAATTTAAATAAAGTACAAATAAAAAATTCGAAATAACAATTAAAATAAAAAAATTAATATGTATTTTTTTTAATTATAACATTAATTATTGTTAAGACAAATATATTTTACTTATTTTCATCCATTAATTATTGTTAAGACAAATATATTTTATTTATTTTCATCCATTCTTAATTTCAACAATTTTTTAGAATTTCTTTTTCTTAATAATTAATTTTAATGTTACAGCATAGAGGATGACTTTATTACGTGGAAAGATAAATTTTGGCCAGCCGTCTGTGAGTTCTTTGGAATCGAAGGCACTGGCGAGGATGTCAGTATTCGACAATATAAACTTACGGAACATGTAGATCTATCAACCGATCGCATCTACACTGGAGAGCTCGCTCGTCTTCATTCCTTTACAAACCAGAGACCGTAAGTTCTTATTTACTATAGAATTGCGTCAAATAATCTCAATTTCCATATTTAGAATTTTTAATCTTTTATCTATAGGCCGTATGATGCAAAAAATCCATTCTTGGCTCCTGTGAAAGTGAATCGCGAATTACATGGTCCAACATCCGACAGATCATGCATGCATATAGAATTCAACGTTGAAGGCTCCAAAATGCGATACGAGACAGGTGATCATTTGGCCGTCTATCCCGTGAACAGCGCGGAGCTGGTGAACAAAATTGGTGAACAATGCGGCGCGAATTTGGATACTGTTTTCACCCTTACGAATACAGACGGTATTTACTCGCTTTCTCTCTTCTTATTTTTACTTGTTTCTCCCAATTTTTATGTGAGAATGATTTATGCATTTGCATTTTTAAAAATAATCTACTATTCGCTTTACAGAGGAGTCCTCAAAGAAGCATCCATTCCCTTGCCCTTGCAGCTATAGGACTGCTTTAACACATTACTTAGATATTACAAGTAACCCACGCACGCACATTCTCAAGGAGTTAGCGGAGTACGCGACCGATACCGCAGACAAAGAGAAGCTAAAACTGATGGCGTCGACCACCGCAGAGGGCAAAACTGCTTATCAACAATGGATAATTCAAGAGAATCGCAATATTGTGCATATTTTAGAGGATATTCCCAGCTTGAAGCCACCTCTAGATCATCTGTGCGAGATTTTGCCACGATTACAATGTCGATACTACTCAATATCCTCGTCTCCGAAGGTATCTCTTTTAATTGATTGTAAGAATAATTTAAGAAGAGGTTTCTTTTTTAAAAAATGACTTGTTTAAAAATCATTCTTTCCGTTTCAGCTTCATCCAACTTCGATCCATATTACGGCAGTAGTGGTGGAGTACAAAACTCCGACTGGCAGAATAAACAAGGGTGTTACGACTAGTTGGTTGAAGGAGAAACATCCCTCCGATCCACCTTGTCTCGTCCCGATTTTTGTAAGGAAATCTCAGTTCCGTTTACCAACGCGCCTGAATATCCCCATCATCATGGTTGGTCCAGGAACCGGTTTAGCGCCATTCAGGGGCTTCATACAGGAGCGAGATTTTGCCAGAAAAGAAGGTAGCATGCTTTCACTTTCGATATCTCGTAACATATTCTCCCCGTCAATAGAATGTATCAATATTTAAATCTTAATTCCAGGTAAAGAGACAGGCGACACAATATTGTACTTTGGATGCAGAAAAAGCCAAGAGGATTATCTTTATCATGAAGAATTAGAGCAGTATGTGAAGGATGGCACTTTAACGTTGCACACCGCGTTCAGCCGGGAACAACTGCACAAAGTCTACGTCACACATTTACTCGAGAAGAACAAAGAGGAAATATGGCGTGTTATCGGCGAACAAAACGGACATATTTATGTTTGCGGGTTAGTTTAAAGAATCTATTATTATAAAAAAAATTTATATTAAAATTTTTACATGTAAATTATGTATGTTCTTAGGGATGCAAGAAACATGGCTCGCGATGTGCACAATATATTGCTCAAAGTGGTGATGGAACGTGGCAACATGTCAGAACTTGATGCTGCAAATTATATCAAGAAGATGGAGTCACAAAAGCGATACTCTAGTGATGTTTGGAGTTGAGCCATATTAATTGTATCATAGAGAAATATACAGAAGAATTTTTTAAAGTGCGAGGGCCAGAGTTTGATGCTTGATTCATTAAAGCGACGGAATGGTAGTATAATGACATTCAGTCAAATCGTTTATCATTTTCTCTATCTTCATTTAATGATTTTCATCCGATGAGTTTTATTCCGTCATCATGTCCTGCCGAATAGAATAATTATAGTTAAATTACATTCGATAGCCAGAGCCAGCATTACATACAGAGGCCTTTTTAAAATTTATGCGAAGTATTTAAATATGTACGACTTATTTTTCGTATTTGTGTTTTTATAAATAACAAATTTATAGATCGTCTTATATTAAATATTTAAATGTATTAGCTACATATTTATGTAAGTCCGATTTTCGAAAGGACTGACTTTATTTAAATTTTTTTGAAAGAAATGTAGAGAGACTCGATAACTCGTGGGATTTTTTGTACATATTTTTTGCACCGTTTATAATTTAAATAAATATATGCATGACAGATTATTTCATATTTAGTAAAAGCATTCGTTAACTCTTCATGGTCAGGAATTGTCGCCTTTGCTATTTCATAGTCTTGATAGATATGTTTATCGAGTTTCTGTACATACTTACATTATTCGTATGTAGCATCTCTGCCTATCTCATCAAGAATGCTAATCAGTTATTTATCTACAAAATGATCATAAAATTATTTTATGACTAATTTTATTACAATTATATAATAATTTTTATCATATCTGTACAATTACTTTAATGAACTCTGATAATTTTTATATACATAAACAATAAGACGAGATAGATTAGCTCGTCTCTGCTGATATTTTAACATTCTTAACGTATTGTCTAATAAAACATATCAGGTCTGGTCACCGTGATGTAACAAATACTATTCGTTACATAAATTGTACAAACAATTTCATTGAAATTTTGTTGTTTTTCATTATCATCCGCGATCGTTCGATCGCAATGCGCCAATCTGGTTAAATGTTACATCTCACATCGAATATAAGGCGAATATAATGTAATGAATATAATTTCTTTTTATAAGATCAGTATATACGTATAGACAATGTGAATAATTGTTATTATGAAAGAGGACTTTGTTAAGTTTGCTCTTGATACTAATTACATTTCTTAGAAGTGCAATCGGATATCAATTGGTGATATTAGTCAGTATATAGTGAAATCTTTTACGCGATATTTAAAGCAAATTTATTCCAGTGTTTGAAATAATATTTTTAACTTAAGTTGGTGCGTGTGAACCAAAGCGATCTTTAGTGAAACTTAAGGCTCAGAAGACCTGTTACTAGTGAATATTAGTTCGAATTCAATCCATCGTAGTGCAGCATATAATATATACAAATCAAAATAGTTATCGCGTGCGCACTGGTTTCAATCAACATACATTAAAATTGTTAATTTAGACTTTCTCTGTCTCTATTTAAGAGTTCAAATGAATTATAATTGAGTTAATTATAAGAGAACCGATATTGAGCAACAATGTAACTGTTATTAATATTGAAATTAAATAATACAATTGATATTGTTATAGCAATTATGAATGAGATGATCGCTGTTTATTTACATAGCGTTTTTAATCGTTTTTAATCCGAGAATATAAAGGTATGCGTGTAGTTTAGCTATGAGCGGTAATCGATTCTTAATTTAGGAGTGTTTTAAGTAATATGTCTTAAGATGCTAATACGACTGTGATAGGTTGATGACATCTTCAAGCTATACTTAAGATAGTCTTAAATATGAGAACCTAAATACCGGCCTGTTGGCGATTGTATAACGAATTATAACTAATTATATTTTTACACGATGCATACAGGGATGGTGAATAAAAATCATGTTGATCAACATATGTAAAGCAATCAGGGGATCGATTGTGTATTTTGATACGAGATGAAAATGACAAAACTGAGTAAATTCACTAGATGTTGACCAATGAAATTACAAAATTCGAGTGAATTGTTCATTTTCGTAATTTCTATCTCATTTTGAGATGCACAATTGACACCCAGATTATATTATTTGCAGTATAATTTTATTTGCATATCGAGAAATAATATTATTGTTACATTAATTTTTCACGATTATATCTGCACAAAATGATTTTATAATTTCTTTTCCGTAAACACAGAAAGTATAATTTCAGTTGAAAAATAACACTAGTTTACAGCAAAAAATTACTTTGAACCGGACTACGTGTCTTTTATAGATTTTTGGATGTTGAAAACAATGCTGCAGGCGAAAAAATTCTAGCACGTCGGATTTCCAAGATAATTGAGGTTTAATACTTAAAAAATAGCTTTTTTGGGATATTTGACATTTTTTAATAAAGGTCAACGTTATCTTGAAATTTCGATCAGGAGTCATGAATGTATTGTGCATCCCCTACAAAATGCATTTTTTTTTATTTCAATATCTTACTTTTTAGCCATGTTATGAACGATTAAAGATAGGAGCTATTTTGAATATGGTGACTCCAGCAGCATCATATGTGTATGCGGATTAATTTCTTAGGGTCATATTTTGATAACTGTACCTTAATACTTTTATGCACAGAGAGAACTATGAGACTAATCCACTGATGTAATAAAAATACATCGTTGCTTAAAAAAAAAAAAATGCAATTAGTAATATGCAACTACATATCTTTCATAAAACAACTCTCTCTCTCTCTCTCCTCTCTTTTTCTCCCCCCCCCCTCTCTCTCTCTATGTTTGTGTGATGCGCGTTGTTTTAAAATGATTTTAGCGTTACCGCATGCGCATATGATGCTGCCGGTCCTCATATTCGACATAGCTCTTATCTTTAATCGTTCATAACATGACTAAAAAGTAAGGTATTGAAATAAAAAAAAATGCATTTTATAGGGGATGAGCAATACATTCATGACTCCTGATCGAAATTTCAAGATAACATTAACCTTCTTTATTAAAAAATATCAAATATCGCAAAAAAGCCATTTTTTAAGTATTAAACCTCAATTATCTTGGAAATCTGATGTGCTAGAATTTTTTCGTTTGGGAAATCGTTTTCAGCATTTAAAAATCTACAAGAGACACGTAGTCCGGTTCAAAGTAATTGAAAAAAAAAATTGTAAACTAGTGTAATTGACTAAATTAAAGAATGAGAGGGGAATCGATTGTGTATCCATGGTGGATACCGTGGATACACAATACGTACGCGTGTACATACATGTATATCTTGAGACGAGGTGAAAATTGCAAAATTAAGTGAGCAAATTCACTTAAATATTTGTAATTTTATTGGTCAACGCGTAATAAATTTGTTAACTTTTGTAATTTTTGTCTCGTTTTAAGATACACAATCGTCTTCCTGTAAGTTACAGAAACATTTTACCGGCAAAAGTAAATTATCCTTTTCCTTCTATTTTAGTGGAGATTTGTATCATCGACGTGGGTTCGTGTCTCAGCTGAATAAGGATTTTCTGTAGACCTTCGCAACCCTCAGTATAATAGTATATTATGTGATATCATGCGCAGAGAGGTCGAGCAAACCTCGTCGTGGGTTATATCATGGTCAATATTTCAGATTTCAATCACGATTCGAGCTGATTCGAGCACGGGATCGATAGTAGGATTAGTAGGCTCGCGTGTGGTGTAAAACAGAAATTATGAATGGTAAAAATAGGCGTGGCGGCAACACGACCGCTCCGCTGAAAGCCCTGAAAAGTCCCAGTCGAGGACGTTACGAACGTCAGAAATTGGAAGAGAATCAGTAAGTATTTCTCCCCTCTCTCTCTCTCACATTAAAAACACGCGGGTTGCGGTATCTTCGCGACGGGACCGTCGCCGTTTGGTTCTTGTTGATGGCGAAGACCCTCGGGGAAAGCATGAAATGCGAAGAAACAACATCAGCAGAAGCACGTAAGTTTGTTTATTTACTTTACGCAATTTCAAGAAATTATCCCATGATTATTGAGTAATTGTTAATTATTGAAATTATTGAGAATTATTCGTCTTATAGGATCAGTCCGCTGACGCAGAAGATAAAGGCTCCCCAACACTTGCTGCGACTCAAGGACGAGGAGGATGGCTGTGACGACGAATGGGATGGTCGTTTCCGACTACCTAGTTTGCCAAGGCAGAAAGCGTTAAAAGATGATGACATCCAGTCCAATAGCAACAGCGCGGCAACATCTGTTTCATGGTCGCAGGAGGTGGAGAGCGTGGCAACTCAGAAATTGGAAGAGCAATGGACCGCCGTGGAAGAGACCTTCTACGAGGAGGACACTCAGATGCTTAAAAATTTTATTTTGGACGAGTGCAAGCAGTGGAAGACACAGATACCATATTTGAGAATAATTGGCAAGAACCCGGCAAGAACTTGTGACAGCAATAGTACGCAACGTGACGTTGGTTCCAGCAGTAAGAAGACAAAGAGACTTGATGATTCGCAGAACGATGAAGTATTCATAGAACGCAACCTTTCAATGAAGGTAAAGAAAGAGTTTCTTTTGTATGTCGTAATCTACATGTATATATACTATTTTTTATATACTTATATATAAAAAATACTTATATTATTTATAGGAAGGAGAGGATTCTATGCAATACAAATTGAATAAGGCAAAATTCGAAGATGTTCTCGACATGATGATGGAATCTGTAATCTCAGAGCTTTTTCCTAACGAGAAGGATGAAACAGATTCTTTGGGTGACGATTTGACTGACGCCCTAAGAATAGCTCCCGCTCCTGTTCACGGTAATAGAAATTCGTCAAGAAATTCAAAAGCAAATTGGACAGAGGAAGCAATCTCGCCTAATTATATCGAGAACAAATCTATAAGTATAAGAAATCGATTGCTAGATACAGAAAGTTCCCTTCAGACAATAAAGAACGATGCAGATCTTCAAGGAATCCAGAAGTAAGATTAAAAGGCAGTAAAATAATACAGGCGCGCTTATTGTTACTTAATGTGTACTTTATTTCTAGGAAATCAAGGAAGTCAATTTCTGCAAATAAACTAAGAGACTTTGGTGATACGGAAGATGATGCTTTGAAGTCCAAAGAGCGGTTGTGCACGCCACATATAGGCAGAAATAAGCTTGGCACTATTTTTAATGAGAGGATTGTTGTAAGCCCTGTGCCCTTTACAGTGTCTACACGAGAAAGCTTCTCTACTGTAAAGACCATCCCGATTAAATTTATGAACGAAGATTTAGAAATCTCTTCCGCCCAAGGTAGCTAATATTGAGTTTTATTTCAGTATCAATTGATTAATTAATATGAACGCAAACAAAAATCGTTAATATTTTAGGATTAGCTCGAAACGTTGGCTTCCAAAGTTCTGCGAAAAAGTCGGGTGCCTTCTTGAGAAATCCGAATATTCATTCCGCCTGGCAAGCTTCTGTCTCTCCTACTATTTGGCCGAAAAATATCCGACTCGCTCCCATAGACACTTCGAGACTTCCTAACAGCAAAAATAGGTGCATTAGTCGCAGTTAAAACATTTCTTTGATCTTTAAATAGTCGGGGAAATTTAAGAGCGAAGAATAATTCGAATTATAAATTTCAGATCATTGGCACCGTCGCCTGCTGTCCAGCACTACAGCAGAAAATCATTGAGCCCGATTTCTCGTCCCATAATACCAAAATCCGCCCATATAACTCGTGATTGTAGCATCAATTTTTTAGAGATTCAAGGGAAGCATATCGTTCCCAGCTGGGACTACAGTCCCAAAGTGGCCAAGAACAAGAAGAAAAAAACTCGAACAAAGGAAAGACTTTGAGAAGAAGTAATCCGATAAAGTCAGAAGCGCTTTGAATATTTGCATGCAAGAAATATATTTTTTAAAAATGTCAGACACGTGTATCCTGCATGTAACTGCAAAGAAGCCTAGAAGTACAAAATGCTTTAATGCGTTCGGTTTCGCAAGCAGGATAATGCCTGAGCACGATGAAATGCTTTAAGCTGAAGTATATATATATATATCATATACTATATATTTACTGCGCGCGTCAGTAGGTCTGTTCGCGTTGCTTGCACTTTTTATAAGAATCTTTTTCAGAATTTCCGCTTTCTCTTTTTTCAACGCCCGAATTATATATTTATCTCGTTTTAAGCAAAAGTTTTGGGGGATTTTAAGCAACGCGAACAAACTTAATGTAAAGTATTTACAAAAGATGATCGTCGCACGCATATGCGCGACAGCGTTTTATTTTAAATACATATCGTTATTTCATAGGTAATACTGTTTCTACCTCACCAAGTGTCCGTGTTGTTCAAGTATTCTACACGCTTATCGCGAGTGGATATATTTTTGTATACCGCACAATTGTAAAAATTTATTGTATGTGAATAAATATATATAATAACTTTATTGTTGGACAAATATTATATCGCCTTATCCCGCGCTGTTCTAAGCCTAAAATTTGATTCCATCTAAAGAAATCTGATTAAAAATTAAAAATGAAATATAATGGTGTTCTATATATATGTTGTGTCGTAAATATAAAATAAAGATCGTTACTTTTTGCTCGTTATGTTATGTGACATTAAGATTAAAAATATGCAAGAGAGTATATGTGTGTATATAGAGACAATAAAATAGCAAAGGTTACACCTGATAAATGCGCGAACTTTTGTAAAATTATAATCCCACATGTTCTTGTAATAACGTCTCGAAGGACACGTGATACGGAACCGCAGGAAATTCGAACAGAGGCGGCATTTGCGCAAGTTCGGCGCTTTTCCCTCTTCTGTGGTCGCAGCGCGTTTAGTTTCGCGTGAGCTTGCAACAGTGGAGGATGCTTTAACGACCGGTGAAAAGTTTCGGTAAAAATGTCGAGAGAAAATTTAAAATAATTACGCAACAACATCGGATCGCGCTGTGACGAAAGA